TTTGCATCATATTATCCACTGAGAAGAGGCGGACTGGCTTTAATAATATTACATATTATATAGTTGGAGTCTTATGGCTCTTGTAACGCAAACAGGTCACATAAGTGTCGAAGATTAGAGGTGTTCTAGAGAGTAGCATACAAAGAAAAGAAGGATCCTCTACTAAAATTCTCTCTACTCGAGAATCGATCTCAGATCAACTGGGCCCGACGGCGAAGTGTCAAACCGCTACACCACAGACACCGGTTGCACAGCTTTGTGGGTTCTCTTTCGTTGCCAGAATCAGTATCGACCTCAACATATACAGTCAAACGCATTTCCCAAATAAAGAAAATGACACGCAAGAAACCCGGAAAAAAACCCATAGACACAATGTAGGCCTTACACAGTCAAATTAGAAATCAGTTGACAAAAGTAAAATAGTATCTGCGTCAATATCCTCGGAGCTGGAAAATTGTGAACTCCTGCTTTGTTGACAGATATAATTTGCTTCTGATGTGCCAAGATGTGAACCGCCAGGGGTATGAATGATTTTACAGGGCTTATTTTGGCTTGGCATGTTAGCCTTGATTGCATAAATCGCTTACAAAGTACTCGTATCGCCATCTGTTTTTAAGGTGTTCCCCCTTTGAAACGCCACATTTAATCTTCGGTTGTCATTCTCTATTGATGAAACGTGAAGTGTAAGAGTTTGAGGTAAAACATACAAGTATAATAAGTCCGTTACCGATTGGCAAAGTCAGTTGTAATATTTTCAACTGGCCACTTTATCAAAAGGAAAACGTAGTTCGAATAGTATAGCCTTCTGCAACACTCACCAACCATACTTTCAGAACAAACACACTGGAACAAGACGAGTTAATTCGATATTGATAAGTTACGCAGATGTTTGATATATTTTTAGTTGGACAATTTCACTAAGTATATTCGTGATTTTAAAAAATCCAACAGCTGGACTTTACAAGAGCTTACAACTTGCAGACTCAAAACTTGGAAAGTGGCACAGATTTCATTTTTTGCCTAACTGATAACGTCGTCTGACACCATGGAAGACTGCTTTGCATTTGCCCTCATGCAGGTAAATTCAGACTCAGACTCATTAAATGCTTTCACAAACTCAAATGGTGGGGTGAGGGTTGAGTATTGCCTGGCGAACATTGCTTTGAAAGCTCCACATTCCACAAGCATTGATTGTTGTGACGGCAGACACCCCAACCCACACGTAGGGAGCCTATGGTGGGAAAATAATGCTTGCTTTAATTTTATTTAAAATTTTTAAGAAAGTAAAATCAGGATATAGTCTGTAAAAGCATCTGTGTGTCTGAGTGCCCGAAGGGACTTGTTCTAAGCCATTGCATTTGGTTTAGGAAACGGCACTGTTACAGAGTTACATAAGACAACACACGTTCTACAAAGAATGGTTGGTTAGTAATTTATTTTCCGTCTATATACATGTATTATAAGAGGTGCTACTGCATTGGAACACATCATCGCCATCATTGCCTTTCTCACCCTGCACCAGGGTATAGACCACGGACAAACACCTTCCACCTTTCTCTATCCTGGGCTAGCCTCTTGATGTTATTCCATGTCTTCCCACTTTTCTGTACATCGATTTCTGCGTTCTTCTCCAGGTTCTACGCAGTCTTCCCCTTGATCTCTTACCCTGTGGATTCTAATCCAAAACTTTCTTTGTTATGCAGCTGCCTGACATCCTGAGAATAATTGTTCCCCCGAGCTGAGCTGCTTCTGTCTAGACTGTATCCAGTGTGTTTCGCTGACTCCTAGTATAAGCAGCGGGTATCTCTTCATCTCTGGTACTACTTGAGAACTCTTTCCTGCTTCATACCAGGTGAGAACATTCCACGACGCAATCCGGTGAGGCTTGTTCGACAGAGAAGGTTTCGGGTCAGAAGAGTCCTTTCGGCTTTGTCCTCTGTCCTTCATTGTTCCCGCTGATGCAGAAGCTCCTCTGTCTCACAAGATCGAAAAATAAAAAGATGTGTTTGTCCGTGTTTCTGTTGGAGAAACAAATTGCGAATTGAAAACGTTCGCGAAAACATGAAATGGACGAAACGCAAAAAAAAGGAGGACGCAAAAACAGAACAAAAAACTTTTCTTGTTTTACTTTTGTCTTCCGCTTGTCCTGGTGGGTGTCGCGGGGAGACACATGCGTCTGTCTGCAGCATAGTGAGTGCCCTGTAGAAAGGACAACCCGTGAGCTCTGAGAGTGTCTGCCAAAGATTTTCTCCAGCGTCGTCCTGGACTTCCTCTGGCTCTCCAGCCAGATTATCTGATGTTGTATGCCTTCAGAGCTGGTTGGTTTGAAGGCATCCGTGTGAGGAACCGTACAAGGAAACAGAAAGAGAGGAAGGCAGAGAAGGATATTGGAGGACAACATTACAGAGTGGACAGGAAAGAGATGGGTGACAATCTGAAAAAAGCCGAGGACAAAGAGAAATAGCGAGAGCCGGTTTTCGGATGCAGTGGTGCCCCCACGGTTGCCCCAACCAAGGGATAGAAGGAGAAGAAGAAGAAGTGTGAAGTGTCCCAACCGCTTGATCCTCTGTTTCTCAATGTGTGGTAGGACTGGTGTTGCTCCTACCATGTCGCTTATATGACTTCATTTTTTATCTTGTCTCGCCTTGTCAAGTTTACCGCTCTTCTTAGACATTTCATTTCGCATGTGACCAGCTTTCTCTAGAGGGCTTTAGTAAGGGACCATGTCTTGCTCTGATTGATATCATGTGAGCGTTGGTTAAAAGATGACGTTGATGAGCGTCGCCTTGGTGTTCATGTGGATGCCGAGATATTTCAGGAGAGGAGTGAATTTATAACTGACTGCATTGGTTTCTGGCATCTAGTCTCTATTTCTCGATATAGTTTGCCGTTTTCTGTGAAAATGATGCCCAGGTATTTGAATTCACTAAACCAAAAAAAGCTCCCCATCATGAACAAAAACAAAAATCCTCACCCCACACCCCCTAAAAAGCCAATAGACAGTATATCATTTATGTCGAAGTACGTCTTGGTAACATCTACTACGATTTTGTAGCGATGCTGAGGGGATTACATGTAAAATAACGAAGCAAAACGCTCCTCCCCCCCAACCCTCCCCCCCAACCCTCCCCCCCCACAAAAATAAAAAATGCAACAACAACGACAACAAAAAACCCCACCCAAACAACACCCCACACCCCCCCCCCCCCCCTTTGCATTTACTTGAAATTAGGCCTAAATATTTTGGAGGTTCCCAAATCCATTTTTACAAGCACAGTTTGATGTCCTTGTTGGATTTGAAAGTTAAAAAAAAAGTTTTTAGGATAACAAAAAGATGAAAAGGAGAAAACAAATACCCCCCTCCCCCACTGACGTTTTACTTCCTCTACGTTTGTCCCTTTTATACTATACTTCTGCATTTAAGTTACGACCCAACAGGACCCGGAAAGCTAATTAAAAACAAGTATTTATTTTTAGAGGGGGCCAGGGGGAAAGGGGGGGGGGGAGGACATATAGATGTACTTTTAAACATATCTGAACAAGTGCGTTGTTGCATGAGGAAGGGGTCGCATCATATGATGTTGAGCTATGCCCCCTCTCTCTCTCTCTCTCTCTCTCTCTCTCTCTCTCTCTCTCTCTCTCTCTCTCTCTCTCTCTCTCTCTCTCTCTCTTTCTCTCTCTCTCTCATACAAACAAACAAACAAACAAACAAACAAACACAAACACACACACACGTGACCAAATCATAATAATATGAAAAGTTGCTGCTTTTAGTTGTTTCATGTTTGGTCACTTTTAAGCACAAGGGAGCTATCCCGACAAATACTGTTTTAAGAAAATCAAAGGTAAAGCTTTTGAACCCTTGTTCAGTTTCTTCAAAAGACAAGGAGAGTTTTCTCTATGACCAAACAAATTAATATACACACCAATGAAACTAAACTTCTACTGTAGGTAGGGCAATTCTCACTTTTGGTGTTGGCCAAGATTTCTGGAAATCCCCGAAATTTGGGTTAGCCCGCTTGTCCATAAAAGTGACCATTTATCAGATTATTGATCGAACATACCCACCTTTTCTGTTATGTCAATTGGGGCCCGGAAACTTCCTTTTTAACAGTACTTTGTACACTTAAAGCCCACTCTGTTCTCTCAGTTACAAAAGTCTTTCGGCGATCAATCATTTCCGATTGGTCAATAGCACTTAGTCAAAGGAAACAAACGCACTGAATAAAAACTGCGACTGGTACACTGACTGCAACAGTCTATTCTTCTGCCGTGATTTACCGCTGAGACTGCCTTTTGAATTTGGATGTCTGCGTAGAAACAATTGCTATGTCTTCAGATAAATTGAGTGTCGTGTACCTCTTACGTAAGTTGTGCTTGTTCAACTATAGTGCCGTCAAAAATTCGTGGCGCAACTTATCTTCAATTGTCTTTTTACCGGAGAATCAATGTCACCCATATTTTTCATAGTAGTTTATGTCAGTTTGTCTCAACTTAATCATATGTTTCATCAACAACTGAGACTAGATTTAAAAACACGTCCATCAATGTCTGTAGATTGCCAATACATCCGCAAAGCAGAATATTTCTGCAGCAAAATAGAAGAATTTGAAGAATTAAAGGCTGAGATGGCTTGTGACTTCTGCTGTGGCCTATGAGACCAATTCTGGCAGAGAAAAGTTTGCAACGCTCTGAACATTTCAAGGCTCCCCTTCCACTTGTTGGTGAGCGCAGCTTGCGGGCTTCTCTCTGGTTTTCGGCATTTCTTACTCATGAAGCCTCTTTTTATTTGCTGCCGACTATGACTGCTGCTCTCCAGCTGGTTCGGACAGGACCTAGGCTCTCCCATTTCGAAGGATTTACGTTGAAGTCTTCTTGAGATATTTTCAGGGTGTCCTTGTAGTGCTTTTTTGGGTGCCCCAACCTTACGTACGCTTCCCTGAGGACAGTTCAGAATAGAGCACTGCCTTAGGGATTCTGAAATCAGGCATTCTTACGACATGGCCAGCCCAGCGAAGTTGAGCCCTTTTGAGCTTATAAAACAGACTCTCGGCATTTGTCCTTTTGAGAACTTCTACGTCTGGTATCTTATGCAATTTGATGCCAAGTTATTCTCCAAAGGCATCTCTATCTCTATCTCTACATATTTATCTCTATCTTTATCTTTATCTCTATGTATTATATTTGTGAAAGTTCGTCACTTTGGCCGCCTAAAACTTCCGAACCTCTTAACTTTCGAATTTGACAAAATTAATTGAGGTTCAGAATCATTTAAAGGGTGCACCATTTTATTGAGGAGCCTGTTCGTTTAGATGTAAACTTGGGAAAGTCCGTCTTCTAAGACGCCATGGTAAACAAGTGAGGTTTCCATTCCTTAGCCATGCGCACTGTTTCCACACCTTTGAAATTCTGGAGTGTACAACCACGAAAGCGGAATAGAGAATTAATCTATACATCTATCATAATATATTTGGCAATTTGGAAACACAGGTGTCACTTTTCCCCTAAAACTACGACAGCTGCAGAGTTGAAAGTTGGCAAGTACCTGCAAAAAGATAGATCCACATGACCGAAAGTTTTTTTTTCCGCACCAGTTATTGCACTTAGCGTGCTCAAAACATGAGTTCCGTAAGCAAAGTTTAGAGATTAGAAGAAGTACGGCGGACTTGCTTTTAAAAGTGCTATTGTCCAAGCTCATAGGGTGCAAACCTTTTAAAGTCAGTAGATATCATCGATTAGGATTTTTAAAATTATTATTTATTAAGGAATTTTCTATATAACAGCGCTCAGGTGCTTTAAAGTATATTCGTCTGTTGAGATAGTTCACAATAAGGTGTGCAAAGAATTTTTGACCGCACTATAATACAATTTAATAAGAATTTTTTTTTTCTTTTTAGCATTATTCATTATCTATACCTTTTCTGCCTTTTTTCTTCTTCTCTGTCTCTCTGCTTATCAGCCTGTTTGTCTTTCTTTCTTTTCTTTTTTCATTCCTTCTATATTTGATACATTAATTTTTGTACCTTTCTTGTCCATCGATTTATAAAATGAGTTTTGCGCATCCTAAACACAGACATGCCATTCCGAAGGAAGAATACTTGACTCATTGGAAAGAATGAAAAAAACCCATCACTTTTAACAACCCCCTTTGCAAAAAACAAACAAAAACAAAACAAAAACAGACTAACAAAAACAAAAGGAAACAAAAGGAACAAAAAAACCCACACAGGAAATGTCTCAAACTTGTGTAACTTGACCCTGTCTGAGATTATAGAGACGGTTGTGGGTGCTTTTTCCACCATTAGAAACATTGGAAATCTTTCTGGAATACTGGGTTGTTTTCAACCCAATTTCTACAGCCACAATTTTTCCCGTTTTCATCCCACATTTGCAAAATAGTGTTGCGAATTTCAATTCGATACCTATACTCGACTCTAACTCCTCTCTCTATCTCCCTCTCCTCTCTCTCTCTCTCTCTGCCTCTCTATCTCTCTCTCTCTCTCTCTCTATCTCCCTCTCTCTTTCTCTCTATCTATCTATCTATCTATCTATCTCTCTCCCACCCCCTCTCTCTCTTTGTCTCTCTCTCTCTCTGTGCCTGATGTGTGGGTGTGGTGATATTCTGAGACATACCGTAGTTTAGCGTAGCTGTTTACTAGAAAATTCAGCCTATCATCCCTTGAGACAGTAGCAGATTGTAAACTATGTGCACACTTTTGCCATGGATTTATAACATATTTTTAACAAGAGTTTAATTACAAAGAATATTTTCTTTATTGAAACTGATCAAGGACACAATATTTTGAAAACTAAAAAAAAAAATTCACCTCAGACGAAAAACTACTCACAACTCCTTGTTGATGTGATTATAAACAATGAATTTTCTCCGCATATCGTAAAACCAATTTAGAATTAGAGTGGAAATAGCAGTAACCTTTAAGTAATCGAATCAATGCGGGACGAAAAACGGATGGAACGAAAACAGGTATGACGAAATTAAAAAAACACGAAAATTGTGAGACGAAAACGCACTCAAACAATAAATCAGCAGAAGGTACAACTCCTCGAATGATAGGAAACAGTATAGTAGAACTCTGAAGGCCTAAGCTTAGATGTAATTGGGGTATCTTGTCTTCAGTGTATCACCTCTGTTTCTTCCTTCCAGTTGTCTCCCCTAGCCAACAGACAGAGAGTGAGAGAGAGAGAGAGAGAGAGAGAGAGAGAGAGAGAGAGAGAGACAGAGAGAGAGACAGAGAGAGAGACAGAGAGTGAGAGAGAGAGAGTGAGAGAGAGAGTGTGTGTGTGAGAGAGAGAGAGAGAGAGAGAGAGAGAGAGAGAGAGAGAGAGAGAGAGAGTCCAAGCAATCTCCCAATGACGTATTTTTGTCTGCTAGTAGGGCGTTCGACTCATCCAAAGATGGTTCAAGTAGCTGGCTTCATAATCTTGTTACTAATAGAGCATAATATCACATTGCCGTGTTGCTAAAATCTTTCGCACCCAGTTTTCCAAATAAACCAAGACGCTAAAAGAAACATAACGATACGCTGTATTGGTGTACCGTTAGCTCAGCTGATAAGGGGAGGGCTCCAAAGTCGGTAACCCTTGTTCAATTGTCGAATCCGGACTTGGACATTCGAGAACTTCTGCTATCTGGGATCGGATGCTTTCATCGTTCTCCACACACTTGCCTCAGATTTGTAGAGATTGACTTTAAATAAGAATTGCCTTGTCGAAAGTAATGGTTCTGTGTGAAAGTGGAATTGCACCCGTATTGTACAATTTAGATATTGCAAATATCCATACTGGCTTCTTGTGACATCCACTTTTTGGGATTTTTTAGACACCAGAAAGACGTAGAAAGTTCTTGCATGTCTGATGAAACATATTTTCTTTCGATCTTCGCTGTCACGACAGTTTGACGCGCTCGAGAAGACGTTAAAAAACCCACCAAAAACAACAATAAGAAAAAAACAAACACATCAACAACGTTTAATGAGGTTGACCTTTAACTTGTCTGCCTGTAATGCCCTCTTTAACGTTTAAAGGTCCTTAACCCGCTGTGTCCACAGACTCGCACATTGAAAGCACTTTCCTAGACGGAATGACCACATATATAATGTTTAGGTTTAAGTACTTTGACAGGGGAAAGGGTTTCAATAAACATCACGTGTCAAGGTACCGGTTCACAAAAACTGGACAAATAGAACCCCATTAAGTGAAAGCTGACAAAGGCAGCCTAAAGGGTGGCAAGTAATGAAGGAGAGAACGAGAAGCCGCACAGTAGTATCGACCTGCATGGGTATTGCGAAATCAAAGCCTTTTGCGTCATCATAGTACTAACTTCTCAAGAGCCAAAAGCGCTTTGATCTCATCATTTGCTGAATGCTGGTTTCTCGTAGCGAAATATTTTGCACCATCTCGCTAATGCTTTGCCATAAACCTTGATCCAGCGTAATTCCATTACAATTTACAGCGAGACAGCCTTTGTACAACATGCTGAGAACATAGCAAAATGGACAAGACCACATAAACTTGGGTTTAGGGCGTCTCCTGAATCTTTGGCGATCTATTGGAAACTGGACAACGGCGCATTGTACAAAACTCGTCGAAAAGTTGGGCAGAAGTAAAAATTATCGGAATGTAATTTTTAAAAATCTCTCCAGATATATAAATGTATCCTTTGCACACCCTAAAGCATTGCAAAGGACTTCCGGTTTGACTTGGCCTGTGGCCGGTCGTGTGTTGTTTCGCTCCGAGGTTTTCGGTCATTTACTTGTGTTTTCCTCTACGGATTGTTTTATGCACTTGGCACAATATTTTGATCCCCATAAGGTTGTCACTCCACATATTTAATAAAATTAGATTGCCAATCTGTCGCGAATATTCACTGCTGCAGGGTTCATACAAAGCTTAAGTCAAAGCATCGGTTAACGAAGGGAACTTGTTACTGAAAGAGATTTTGAGAATTATTTGTTCATCATTTTAAGAAAAAAGTATATGAGGAATATAGTATATCTTGTGATTTTCCGAAACAAGCACACCTTATTATGAAGCATTGAGCGCAACCTGCAATCCTACAGACTCTCATCTTTGTGAGCAGTTACGACAACAGCGACGACGACATCAAGAGCAACAACAACAACAAAAACAACACAAACAGCAACAACAAAACAACAACAGCAGCAGCAGCTGCAACAACAACAACAACGACAACAACAACAAAACAACAACAGCAACATCAACAACAACGAAAGCAAAAAAAAAAAAAAAGAAAAGAAGACGTTTCTGAGACGAATGACACGACCACTGGCACAAGCACTATCCCTAACCAAATCAGTTATTTTTGCATGCTGAAACACTACAACAACACGTCGACATCATACACACTTCTTTTGAGCCCCCTCGCGGGCTGCCAGTATGCTTCTGTCCTCAGCTCTGCCACTTCTACTCTTCTGACTCTGGGTCTGCCCTACAAGACTCTATACTTTCCAACTACAATAAGAGAGCGCGGCCAAGAGGTACGGTCACAGTAGATGTCTCCTTTCAGATGACAGGAATCAGGGGCGTGGTAAGTAACACCTCAGTTGTGGTGAGTTAGATCTCAGGTGTGATAAATTAGATCTCAGACATAGAAAGTTAGATCTGATATGGTGAACAATTTCTGATGTGGTAATTTAGATCTCCGATGTTATCAGTTGCATCTCAGAGGTGATAGGATTATTACCCCCAATCCAGTAATGTAGACCTCAGATGTTGTAATAATTTAGATCTTAGATGGGATAAGATCTCATAGGGTAAGTTAGATCTCATGTAGTAATTTAAATCACATATTATGTGGTTAGTTAGATCTCAGATGTGGTAAGTTAGATCTAAGATAAGGTGCGTTAGATCTCAAATATTATGTGAAAAGTAAGACTTGCAATCTTTATAAATGTGGAAAGTTCGAAATCAGACGTGGAATATAAGACCCCCCCCCTCTCTCTCTCTCTCTCTCTCTCTCTCTCTCTCTCTCTCTCTCTCTCTCTCCCCCTCTCTCTCTATCCTTCTCTCTTTTTTCTTGAATCTAAGACGTGATAAGTTAGATCTCATGTATGGGAAAAAAGAACGCAGACGTGGTGAGTGGTGAGTTTAGACCACAGACGTGGCATATGGCACCACAGACGTGACAGGTTAGATCTCAGATGTTGGGGCTCAGAATTCAGATAGGATATGTAACAACAGGCACGTTTGATGGAAAGAGACGCAGAGGCAGACAGAATGACAACATGGCTGGGAGCAGCAAGAACAACAGACACCATCGCTGCAACGCAAGACAGAGTGAAGTGGATGTCCATGATCGCCCACGCCAGTCGGCAAGGCACATGATGATGATGATGTCATACATATGATGTGGAAAATTAGACAAAACACGTGGTATGTTAGACCTGTTATGCGTGGCCTCTAACGTGGAGTGTTCAACCGCAGACATAGTGTGTTAGACAGCAAACCTGGTTTGGTAAATCTCAGACTTAGTATACAAAATATGTATTAGATCTAGATCTCAAGCGAGAAATGTATGGACAATTGTATGATATTTTTTTTCCTTTTGCTTACCACTTTGACTTACTGTGAGGAGAATCTTCGAGTCTGGTCACTGTAAGGGTTGGAGGTATCAAGGGAATGAAGATACCTAGTTTTTGGATTGGGAAATGTCTCTTCGTCACACACACACACACACACACACACACACACACACACTCGCAGTGGCAGGGGTCAACGATTGATTAAACCAAACTTTTAACACCAAGCCATGGAATCGGTGAGTGAAACAAAGGAAACGAGAACGTGAAACGATGAAGTATTGTGTGTTTTAACCCTATCCGTACGCCCTGGGGTCATTTTGTACCTACGAGGTTGTGTTCTTCACAGTTCAAATTACTCGTTGAAACTTTTATTATGTCTCAAAAAAGTCATTTGGACAGACTGCTATGCCAAACGTACGGATCAGATTAACGAGTAAATTTCTTCTTTGGAACGTGGTGGCACAGAGTCCCCTAAGTGGCATGAATATATGATAGTAAAACACGACCTACGGATAGGGTTAAAACAAACAAAAAAGTAAAGAAGGAGCTGTTTTGTAAGCAGTTAGAAGAAGGACCAGCTTGTAGACATTGTGTACATGGTATACATAAGTATATGTACTCTAAACTCGTTTATGCACTAAACACATTCTGCACGTAGTATAAAGGTGCAGTTCCATGACACGTATTTTACACGTACGTATTTCGTACGTATTAGGTACGTATTTTTAGTCGTACGTATTTCCTGTTTCCGTGATGCGTAGTTTTTCAATGTCATGCTCATGCTGTATCGGAACAACTTAGAGGGGGAACTGCTGCTTTTTCTTTCCTCATCCTTACTATCGCCATTTTTACCTCTTCTTCTTTTGCATTTTTGTCACTTTCTTGTGAACTGCTATTTCCGGGGTGCCTTGATAGTCGAAGCAGACTTTGTTGTTTTGAGGCTAGAGAGGTGAGCGGAGTAAGGCTGATTCCCCGTTTGGACTTCTCTGTTGTCATCCATCCCTTGGCGCTCATATTACTTTTTGCAGTTGCGAGCGCCGTAAAACATTACTAAAGCAAACAGAGAGCAGTGGATAGAAACGATTAACACTGCTAAGACATTCACTTGTTTTTTG